GCCTTCGCACTACGAGTCTGGAACCAAACCACCATGACCATTGACTTGCCTACGAGTTACATACCAAAATTCATCACTGACTTTACCAATGTGTTTTGCGAAGCATTTAAGTTATCCGGCTGTGGAACCGCTGGAAATTTCTTTTTTTAACACAGGTTCGCATTCGGCAGGGTACAACTTGTGATTATTAATATTTTTTTACTATTATAATCGTTCTTTTTCTTTATACTTTCAAAATATTTTAAAAATGGTGAAATGAAAAATTTAGAAAATGATGAAATTTTCGTAGATGACGCTTTCGATTAATTTCAGTAACTTAATTTTTTTTCTTTTTTCAGAAATTTACTATTATGGAAACACTGAACTTACATTTATAAATGGGAAAATGAAGTATTCTGATTATATTAATTTAACCAATCAATTTTACCAATCAATGTAACTGAACTGATTTTATTGAACCAATTTAACAAATAATTAGAGAAACATGCAGTAAAAATTGCAAGACAAAATTTTATTCTTCAGCAGAACAATATGGGTGGTCATAAAGTGTGTGCAAGTACTACTCGCCTTTCACGTTAGTGCCGTCGGCCTGAGGCTTAAAAGTGCACAGAAACACTTTAAATAAAGTTACACGCTACATAACTTTTGGCGTATTAAGTTATGTAGCGTGTATCTTTATTTAATATATTTATTTACAATATTCTGTGAATTATTATGTTGAAATATTTTTATTGACCAGCTTCCATGACGGCTTGTTTCTAACTAACTATTTACAAAAAGAATATCACAAAAATTAACAAAAGAATTTTAAAATGTGAAGTTAAGCAATAATGTTGAGCGTCGCAGTAAGAATTGCTGTGGCACAGTTTCAGGTTAATGATGCTGAGCCAGATTGAAACAATGAGGATTTTGTTGAATCGAAGGTGGAATGATGGTATGATGAGCAAATTGTATTTATTTGAATTGAGTTGTTGTTTCGTTAAAGTTGACACTCGTCGAGGTCGATACACATCTTGCTTCTTAGAATTCTGAGTTAGAAATTCCGAGTTTTTTGCCAAGCTCTACCCTTAAATATGTTAATGTAAGGGTAGCGTCAGGGGATGAGACATGCGGATTGGTTGTCTGATGGAGCTCTGAGTTTTGGACAGGGAGGAGGCCGTTTTTTCTAATTGGCGACAGTCACCGGAAAGTTGACCGCCTCCAAGTCCATCGGTCACCTGCAGGTATCGAGAGTATCTTCGCGTGACGTCAGGGAAATTCCGCGTACCTCGACCGTAGCAGGTAATAAATGTATGAACCACCTTAACCCTACTAATACATGCGAAGAGTAACTCGAAAATGGAAAAATGCTAATCCTCGAACAGCTGAGGGTGGTTGTTAAAAGTGATAGTTGATGGCTTCATAAAGTTATTCGAGCTACGATCCCTTGAAAAATTTGGAAGACCGATGAGTAACAGTATTTCGGGTTGTACGTGACATCACGCGTCAACAAATAACTAGTAACAAATTGAAATTGACTTTATCTACAAATAGAAACCGATATTATCGACACATTGACTACATTTAAAAGTTAGGTTTAATATTTAAATTTATCGCTGTTGCTCGGTGGGGGGTAAGTGTAGCCAATGTTAATTAAATTGCCACTGCAATTTTACGAGCTTTTGTCTATCGGCGATGCTCGTATTGTATGAAAAAAAAACTTGTCGTTTAGCTTTTCCAGAATATCCAGATTCTCCAGAGCTTGTTCTTGTATGTAAATTGCTGCAGAAATTTTGAAAATCCGCCACTTTTGGCGCTGCCATTCAGTTTTTCAAATTCATTTGTGACTTTCCTCGTTCCTTTCTGAAATTTTTGCGACAACCTACGTACCGTCAATTCCTGGAAACCTAGCACTCGTGACGTCATGGGGGCAAAAACAATCGCTTGGTACGTTCGCCTACCTCTACTTTATGGTTCCGAGAAATCCAATTACGAGTTCGGAAACGGCTCTTCGCGCTCTTTCTTGCGTGGCCCTGTTAGAAAATATGAGCGCCTCAGGGAATCATATGCCAGTATTGAAAATCTGTGTGAATGCGGTGTACATCTTCGAATCTGACCACTCAGACGAGAGTGCCAGGTCGCTAGCAACTGACGGGTAACTATATAGTTTTCCTGTTGACAGATTTCACATTGCTTGATAAATTTGTAGGATTCTCTCTGCTCTACGATAAAATCTCCCTTTGTTCCATGTTGAAAGAAATACAAGATTTCATGGTGTAATTAACAAAAACAGTTTATCAACTGAACGCTTCCACCCGACTCTCATCCATACTGAAAACTTACGTAATCACGTTACGGTGCGCTGATCGCTCTATTCGCACGGTCTTATCGCTCAGTTCCAATCACTGTTACTTCACAAATCTTCAACCAGTCAAGATTCCTCAAAATGCCGTGACGCTATTTCTCCCAAACATACCAGGGGGCCATCCAGTTGCTAGACAATACCGAACACACGCATGAACAACCAACCATTCATACCCTACAAATCGTTCCATGTATAGTGGTTTACTGGATCAATTATTGTGTACAGCCCCAGCCTCTGTAAGATATTCTTAGGATCTTGATGACCGCTCAACGCGCTATTGTAGATTTATTTAATTAGCCTTTCCCGTTCTTCAACCCATTTTGACATCATTATTTCAATATAGTAGTGGCAAAAGTTTTTCGCGATTATCCGGAAGGCTAAATAAGAACGACATTTTTGTCAAAAAAAAAAATTATTCGAAATATGTATTTCTATAACATTTTTCAACTTAACAGATATAGGTGAGCTCAGCCACTTGCGCTAATATTACTAAATATTTCAAGCTTAACTGAATATGCAAGTAATTTATTCTTGTAAGCATACTAAATAATGTAACTAATATAACTAAATATAATAAGAAATGTGCTAATAATATAACTAATAAGCATCTATAAATCGTTACTTTTTAGATATGACTGAAGATATTTCAGGAAAACAAAAAATTACCGAAACAAAAAATAACATAGGTGAACAGGATCAGTCAATGTCTAAAAGTGCTCGAAAGGTAATTTTTTAAATAATGTGCTTAAGATTCTTTCTAATGTTTTTATGCATTTCAATGTAGTAACTGTCCCATCATTGTTTATTATTGCAGAGATTGTACACTTTGAAGGTGAAAATCGCCCACAATATACCACCACAACACAGTGGTAATTGTCAATTAATTTCAAGACCCTTAACAGGGTTTGATCGAATGTTGTTTTTACAACATTCTTCGTTAAAGAAAGGTGCTTTTTCTCCTGACGAGGACAGAATTATCAAAAATAACTGGAGAACATTCTGTGAAGTATGTTTACTCGATGTCATTACTATATACAACTTATTTTATTAATAAATAATTTTATAAATAGGTTCATGATTGGGATCCTAAAATTGTAAAACCATTTATTTGCATGAGACATGGTGATAAATATTATATTAAAGGGAAAGAAGAACGTCGAAAATTTGTTCAATATTTAGCAAATGGATTACATACTCGTCCATTGAACAGTGTCTTCGGGAGGTTTAAAATTTTGTTCGGGGAACCTAAACAACGTTTTAAACGGTATAGCATATCATTTATACATACATTTTCGTTTAGTGGTTTATACTTGTAATTTATTGTATGTATAATATATATGATATGTATTTACATAGGTACACTTCAATAGAAGACGAAACAATTTTATCGTATATGAAAGAGAATAGTAACCGGGGAGGAAATAATCATTTTTCTAAATTAGCCGAAATATTAGGTCGTGAGAGGCACTCGGTATGGCGACGTTATCACAAACTTAAAAATATGGAGAATATTAAAACAAAGAAACGTAAGTATTTTTCACACGTAATTTATATTGTCTCAGCTATATACACAAAACATAAATAATGGATTTTGTTGCAGCATTATCAGAAGTAGAGTGGACATTTCAGTTAACCGTTAAATTTGTTCAAACTTTGATGGATGTAATGTTATGTGAAAAAATAGAAAAATTGAAAGATGCTGTCGTTCCAAAATCAATTTGGATAAAGTTAGAAAACAAATTAAACATAAACTTTAAAACGTTAAAAAGTTTTTGGATTAATCAGTTGCATATGGAATTATTTTGTCCAGAATCCATTGACGTACATGATATTGAAATAAAATTAATTAAACAGTAAGTTATGTTAACATATTCTATCTGAAAATATACAGAGTGTTCGGTAACTGGTGGTACAATTAGAAACAACAAAGTAATTCTACATGAGAAAATAGATCGAAAATATACAATAAATTTTTCTATACAAGGCTGTGTTTTCGAAAAAATCATCTTTGAATATTCAGTGTAGATTATTGTCTCGATTGAAGTCTATATTTCTATAATTCTATATTTATCTTACGTAAGTCTTTCAAGTCTTGGCCGACAACCCGCAAGCTAAAAGTACATAAGGGTAAGAGGAATCAGTCGCACGGTCTACTTATTATAGCGTTTCATACATTGATACAATAGAATATGTTAGGAAGAATGCATAGAAATTTAATTAGAAGAGCAGAATTATGTTTTCAACAGAATGGATTCTGTTTTTTCCAAATTCCAAAAATTTATGTAATAACAAAATTTATGATTACTTTAACATCTTGTTTCACTGTATATTTGTAACTCTCAAGTACAATATACATTCTCGTAACGTTGATAGTTTTATTAATATAAGCTTCAATCGGGACAACCATCTACAGCGATATTTTTTTGTATATTTACGTGGAGGAAATCTGACACTAAACACCCCCGACCGTCCGGGTGAACAACCGAGCGAGCGGTAGTATGGTCCGCACTGACCATAGGTGACCCCTATGGACCGCAACACTCCCAGTACAGGCGACGCTCTACAACAATATTCAATAACGAAACATGGTCTAGTACACATATAACTGGCGAATATTCAAATCGGTTTTCCCGAAGATCACCTAATATGAAAACATTTATTGCATATTTTCAATTTATTTTTTCATGTAGAATCTTCCAGTTACACCACCAGTTACCAAACACCCTGTTTATTCGTATATGAATAGTTTTGATATTCAAATGTGCCTATCCTTCCAAATGACACTGGTGGGCAATCGCATTAAAATTTGGAGAGATGACGGCCTTAAATATAAAATTTTCAATTCGGGTTTTTATAAGATTCCGAAATATCAATAGAAAACTTATATTTTTGATATAATACATCGAATTTTATCTATACAAACGTGACTATACAATGGTTCTTGCTGCAATAATCGCCGTCGTAATCTGTTGAGCCTTGAATAACGATTTCGGCCTCGGTATTTATAGGGTACCCTATAAAAAATTGAATTGTATGTGAAATACTAAATCGGTACTAAGACCTATGTTGATGCGTCTTCAACTACCTAACAATTGCCATTGCCAACGACGCGTCACGGCAGATTCTACTGCGAAATCCGTTGTGTGTTAGTCGTATTTGTATAGGCAGAATTTAATGTATCGAGCAACAGTTCTCTATTAATATCTCTAAAACTAGTAAATTCATTTCAATCTTACTCTCTCAAACATAGTGACAATAAGTTGTTGATTCCTCTCAAATCGATAAAACTAGACCGATTTACGTCGTGTTTGGATTTATTTCAATAAAAAAAACCTGAATGAACCACTGGTATTGCATTTGAAAATGTAAAATTGACATTTGTATCACTGCCCGATTGCTATTTACATTCACGGAACCTTATCGAAGTGTGTCTATTTCCCTTCCGCTCATTGTATTCATTTACTTTCCTTGTCTACTGAGATCAGGTTACACTGATAGTGTACGTTCAAAACAGTGAGTAATAGAGGAACGGTGAGGATGATTCGTTAAAATTTAATCGAGCAAATTCATTAAAATTTAACCGATCAACACTGTAAATACCCAAAACTAAAATCTTATATTTAAGGCTCCTTTCTCTCCCTCCTGTCGCCGCTTCGAAGAGTGACCCAGAAAATCGCCTGTTTCGTAGGTTTTATCAAATCGGGGATTTTCCAATACAATCCCATATATTGTACAATCTAAGTCTGATGTGTTTGGTGTTTGGAATTTGATTTATACTTATGAATAAGGAACGTCTACTGTTTTTGGTGTTCTGTATAATATAATATCAACTTCGCTTTTAGCTAAGAATTATTCATAAGTAAGTCATAGTAAATTGTATTTGCGACTTGATATTAAGTTTTCAGTATACATATATGTAGAGTTCGGCACTTCCGAACATAGCGCCGGCGTAAGGTTTAAAAGTTACTATCGGGCCGAGCGCCGCGAGTGGACGTCTCCCTTTAAGGGCAGAAATTTAGAACATCTTTAATAGGCTGTGCTTTCTCGTCTTGTGATTATTGGATTAGGTCCTGAAAGCCGAGTGTAAAACACTGGAAATGTTTTGACCAAAGGGTCTAGCGCGAGTTTGACCATGTCGAGTATAACGGAGCTCCCCAACGGTAGAAACACGAATATTCTATCAGATTAAAGTTTTACATAGATTATAACAATTTTTGATATGTAAATTTGTCAAACATAAGTCAACATTTATTTTTAGCGTAAAGGAACACCTTTGGAAACAGTTTTTTCGACGTAAATGTTTGTACAATAAAAAGTATTGGTTGACGCGTCGATGAATTTTGGCATCTTTATGTCTTATATCTGAGAAACTAATGGTTAATTCAAGTTGAACAAGTGTGGTGATTAATTTCTCATCATAAGGTAACGTTTGGCACAAAAATCGATTCCAAAACCAAGAACCTTAAAACAGGCGAAAAATTACGAAATTTTGGGCTCTCTCAACACGATCGGCATCCGGTACTATTTGAAAGTACACCTTCAAATGTAAACATTGTATTCCATTAAACTACAATATTTCTGTTATAGCATATATGAAGAAAAAATTTCAAGCACTAAAAAAATAGTATGGAATAATGTTGCAAAACATTTTGATGGATTTACTCCCGTCTTTTTATGCACATTGTTTGAGTGCCTTGAACGTAAAGTCAGTGAAAAGATAAACAGTACAAAGTTTTCTGGTTAGTATAATATAGATTGAGACTGCATCAGATGGACACATGTGAATGATTTTCATGTAGCAATGCTGTAACAATCAATGTTTCGAATAACTTTTTCCTCGACAAAAATCTCGCTTATTTAGATATTTACGAGAATATTTGGCTACGACTACATTGAATTCTACATATGCGAGCGCGTTCGTGAGACAGACGGTCATAAGGATAGCTGGATTAGTGTGACCTGATTAAGATTCTTTTCCCCACTCTTTCTTACCCGTTGTATTACGACTTTATCCCTCGCCAGTGGGCATTCCCCAACAACCCTTGCAACCACCGCAGAACCCGCCGGTAACGCCAAGGAGGAGGTAACTGTATTCCCCTCAATTTCCGCGATCTAGCCACGCTAAGTCAGATAATTGTCGAGATTGTGGTGTTTCGTGTACGCTTCCCGACAATAGTTTAAACAGTTTCTTCAGCCAGTCGCAGTGGTTTTTTATGTTTCTTCGCACATACAGAAGTGACTGTAATTTATAATAAACACATATACGAGTGGAACTAGTTTTTCGCGAGGTGGGGATGCAAGGGTAGAATCAGAGTCTCCTCTGCTCAAACTTTTACTTTATAATTTGTGGACTAGAACTTTTATTGAAGGGAGTATGTATATACCTACGTGAAATCAGATAAGGTCGAAGCGACGACTGTGTGGGAACGAACGCGCTCGTAGTCGTGTTCCATGAGCGTCTCACACGCGAAACTAAAAGAGAGCGACATTTTTTTAAAGAGAAAAAGTTGTTCAAAATGTACACTTCTACAGTGTTTGATAATTTTATGAAAATCGGTAAATTTGTCCATTTGTTTCAGCATTACTTAGTATATACGCAAAAACAGCATTACAAATATTTCTATTAAATAATATTTTTTGTTGTAGATATAATAGAATACATGTATTATCATGAAGTTCTTGATTTGCAAAACAGCTTAAATGATACATTTGTTCTAAGGTTATCTGATGACAGTCAGAACGCTACGATTACAGATGAAGATATAAACGATAAAATTTAAAAAATGAAAATATTTAATAGAGTAGGCCTCTCACGTTTTGGCTGATTACGCACAAGTTGAATCACAGGGTCAGCGCGATTCCTCCACACGCAATGCTCGAGTCTGCCTCTATTTCGACACATTGCTGCTACTGATCGAGCCGTGGGACGAAGAACGCGATCAGAAAAGAATACGACAAGTAACGATCCTTGAGGTCGGATTTTGTTTCGTCGCGGCAGCGGCTTCTTACATTTACGAAATCTTAGGGACGCGAATAACGTGACCATTTATTGTTTTCTTCAAAACGGAACATTTACTAATTTTTAGGTAATTGTGTGGGGAAACTTAATTTTCAAGTCTGAATATCTTTTAATTTTTTTTTTAATTTTTAATTTTTCACATGGGCTTATCGAAGGCGTGTATGTGTGCACTTCGGAATCGGCATTTTTATTTTTGTTTTTATTCCCGTCGCGTCGACCGAGAACAATATATGTTATTATATAATTATAATGTAATTTATGTTATGTTATATTAATTTAAGTTACATTTTTATCGAGTTATTACGAACTGGGATTATATTTTATTAAATAAACGTTATTCTGTTCATTTACCCTACATTGTGTTATTATAGGGCCTACAATAGTATGTGCTTTCAAGAAAACGCATATTTTTTCATAGTTTCTATTTATTAATGAAAATACAAAAAAAAACACCTGAAAATAAATCATTTATTTAGTCTTATATTTTTCTGAAGAACAAATTTGCTTAAGTATATTTGGCGTTGATTTTAAATGCGAACGAAATTCTTGGCACCATTTCTGAAAATTTACTTTCGTAAGTAACATGGCTTTGAGAACTGGGGCTTTCTGTTGTTTTTTCGCTTGTCCATAATTTATTCATGAGGGAAAAAACCCTTTCTACGGGTACTTAGTTTGTAAATTAATATTAAAAGTACAATTGCGTTTAGACATTGTTAAAATGAAGGGTTCATGTACAAGAAACTGAAATTAAATACAGTAACACACGTCGATAAAAAAAGAATAATCAGTCGTTAAAAAAGATGCGCGATCTGTCTTGAACGTCAGACCTGGGCATGTGTACTCGTAACCGAGGAGCGACCGGACTAGCAGGCTTCTGTCCGACTTACAATGTGTGAGACGTATTAGCACGCCGTCATCGCTTGCGCTACTAGGCGCTACCGTCGGCTAATGTTTAGATTTTTAACGCCATTTTTTAAAATTGTTACCGTGGATTGCTCTCTTTCTAAAAACGGGACATTTCGACGTCCCGAAACTGTGCTTGGGGACAACAGGACAGGTTACCTAAAAACGGGACGTATGGTCAGCTTAGACATGAAGGATCAACCATTGTTTTATAGAAGGACCAAAATGGAGTGTGCGGCTGATTTCCTTTGCCCCTGTACACTTTCAATTTATCAATAACACTGTGGAACAAATTTTAACCTATGTTGCTTTTTGCAATAACCACTAGGTGATTCTTATAGAGTTCCTTACCCTAAATACGAATCCGAAAACCAAATTGCTGGGTCACGTCCAGTTTTCGAAAAAACTGGGCTTTTGTAAAAACGGTCGAATTTTTCAGAGAACCAAGTGTTTTACGTGAAAACTAAAAACGATAAGCAGTTAAAATTTGTCGTAGAAAATAGAGGGGACTTGCCCGAATATGTAGCTATACAAATTTTGAATTTTGCATATCATTAAATGTTTTTAAATGATGATCTAAGTTTAAAAAAGGGTAGATGCGCGTACTTTGTATGCACTGCTATTACATTTCTAGGAAAAGTGGGTTGGCTGGCACGAATTTGCTGTGCACCACTGGATTCTGCAGACATTTCTAAAGAGGAACCCCCCCGCGGGAAGTGTGAGAACGGTTTTTTTTCCGGGCAGATTAAGAAAATGTCCGTGAATAGCGCGAGCACGGAACTTTGGCGCCACACAGCCATCGCTCGTCGGCCATAGGTATGCAGGGCCGTAACTACGCGCTGTATAGACCTAGACCCCGGTCACTTCTTATATGTATATACGTTTAATTGTTTCATAAATTCTCATAATAGTTATGAGAAAGTTTTTCACGATCGTTCCGTTTTAAATAATTCGCTGTTTGCGCAACGTGGAGTTATACTAAATCATTCACAGAATATTACAAACATCCAAATTTCTATTGGGAATTTATTACTCGATTCTACACGAGATTTTCGAAAGTACGCAAAAGTTATTAATAATTTGAAGTTATTAGTACTAAGGTGTATGGTTACAGATGCTATAACCGTCATGAATTTTAAGTCTAGATGCATCTTAACAAACATACAAGACATTTTTGGAAATTTAGGAAAATTAAGAACAGAATTAAAATCTATGATTTTTGTACAGTACTTTAGCATAGGAATATTTGTGACTCATAAATTTCAGTTTTCTAATTTCCTTCCATTGGGCGAAACACACGTGAGACAGCGGGTAATATCAGGTAGCGTGAGAGTTGAGAGTCTACCTGTGACGTAAGTACTGACCACAGAACAATTAAAAAATACCGTTTCCATGCAAACGTACATACCTGTTATTATAAAAGGGAAAAATGTTTCGAGAAATTTTCGAAGAAGTTTTAAGGAATATAAAACCATAAAGTTCCGTACGATACATTATTCTCGTTGCCAGAGGAGACGATGGACAAGTTATAAGAAGTAAATGTAAAACTAATTGGTCATTCAGTATCAAAATAGTCATAGTCACCATATATATACAACTTTTGTTATCTGGGAGTTTCAGTCTGTAGAAATAAAATATCTTCAAATTGTATATAAATATTTTGTTATTAATAAAAAGCTATTTATAATAAAAAAAAACTATTTATAATAAAAAAACGATTTATTCCATTTAATAATTTTAATTTTAAAAAAGTAAGGAATTAATTGTCGAGTTTTACTAAGAACAATCATTCCAACGTTTACACCTACTTTTTATAACTTTCACATCTTCAAAATAAGTAATTATGCATATTGGATTCCATAAAACATACATAATATTCTCGTGTAACAAATTTTTATTGGTAGCCAGGTTCAAAATCGGCCAATTTTTATCATTAACTTGTGCAGGTAGACCTGCTCCAATAGCCAAGCAGGTAAGATGAGCTTACAAACACGTTGTGACTTGTTCCCAACAGCTATTACATGCGCTCTGAGAAGTAGAAGTCCATACGTATCAGACAGCAGAGATAAGTGCACTCGCAGATAATACACAAAAATATAACAAGGATGCCTGTGCAAGCGTAAGCCACATAGGATTTAAAAACACAGCATATACTTTAAATGCATAAAAAAAGCAACACATAATCCAAAAGATAAAACACAGATTACCCATAACAAAACCACTAGACCAGTTGATACCACAATGAACCAAACAATAAATCTCAACCTTGAAGATATACATCCAACAAATATTTCAAAAAAAAAGTTCCAGGAAAGATGGGTAGTAATCCAATCCAAAAGAGAAAAGAAAGCAACAACTTTATCAAACAAAAATCTGAAGAAAAATGAAACATTGAAGAAAAACGAAAACAATCTCAATCCATTCTTGCTATCTGCAGCTGATAATACAGGTAACTATGACAACAACAGTGTTACATTTAACAGATTTGAAATTCTATAGAGTGTAGCTGATGACACAGCAATGGAAGCAGAACCGAAACCTAGAAAACCACAACCAATCATAATACCCAATGTCAGCAATATCCAAAAACTATCTGAAATGCTAACAAAGCTAGAGGTAAATTATGGGTATAAAATTGAAAGAAACAATACAATTAGAATCCAGCCAGTGACTATACATGACTATAGAAAAGTTAGACAAGAACTAGAACAACTAGGAGTAGAATACAACACATTCCAACTAAAAAAGGACAGACCATTCAGAATGGTAATCAGAAATTTACACCCAACAACAGAGCCGAAGGAAATTGCAGAAGAATTAAAAGCATTGGGATATGAAACGTCAAAATGACCATACAATGTTAAACATAAAGTCATAAAACAACCTCTACCAATCTTCTTTGTAGATCTAATACGTAGTGCGGTCCATAAGTTCGTGACTTAACATAGAAGAAAAGATTGGTAAAGAAAAACACTTATCTTATTTCTCAATATAGTCACCCTTTATTTCAATACATTTTTTACACCTTTAGATAATTGCATCTATACCGCTGTAAAAGTAGTCTGAAGTTTTGTTTCTAAAATGTTCGTTGACGGTTTCCTTCACCTTTTCATCGGTGCCAAATTTCCTTCCCCTGAGATCCGCTTTTAATTTTGAAAATAAAAAATAATCGCTAGGAGCTGAATCTGGACTGTACGGTGGATGGTTTATTTCAGTAAAGCGTAATTTGCGAACGGTAGATTTTTTGTTAGAGCAGCAACGCGGCTAATTTTTCCCCTGCGTTTTTGAACAATGACTTTACGCAATTGGTGCAAAAGGTTAGAGTAATATTCGGCATTCACAGCGGTGTTTGGCTGCTTGAAATCTATAAAAAGAATACTCTCGCAATCCCAGAAAATTGTGGCCATAATCTTTTTTTTACTTTGTGTGACTTTCGCTTTCTTGGGTGCTGGTTCTCCCTTCTTATGCCATTCTATCGAATCCCTTTTTGATGTTGGATCATAATACAACACCATTGTTTCATCACCAGTTACTATTGACTTGATAACACCTTGCTTATCCACTTCACACAGCTGCAAAAATTCTCTACAGCACCTCACCCTCTGCTGCTTTTGGACAGCACTTAAAATTCGTGACACTCACCGTGCACTAATTTTTGACATTCCTAGATGGTCATGAAGGATACGAAGAACAGTTGTCTTGGAAAGCGTTGCCCTTTTTGCAATTTCCTTCGTCTTTAATCGACGATTACTCAGAACAATTTCCTCCACTAACTTCACGTTTTCTGGTATGGCCTCGTTAACCGGTCGACTACTGCGTGGGTCATCTTCGATTGACTCTCTTCCCCAACGAAATAACTTCGACCAATTTTTGATCAGACTGTACGACGATGCAGAGTCGCTATAAACATTATCCATCCTTTCCTTGATCTGGTTTGGCGTTAATCCTTCTATAGTTAAAAATTTAATTACCGCACGATGTTCAAGTTTTTCCATTTTTTTCTTCTCCTCGCCAACTTGCACTTGCTTTTTCGTCTGTTGCTCGGAAACTGATGTTCGCATCGCAACTAAACTACGTATGCATATTAATAAAACATAGAAGTTCTTTGACGTAATAATCATTCGGTAAAATTTGCGACGGAAATATCTTAGGTCACGAACTTATGGACCGCACTACGTATGTATTAGATACGCTTCAAAATACCAAAATTACAATAGAACCTCTTAGAATAAGAAAAGAACTAGTACAATGTGATGGCGCACTGTGCGACTCGTTACAATGAATCGAAAGTACGCTGTGTTTAGTTTCTTAAGATCCGACTCGAAGAATAAACTTGATAAATAATCCGTCGTGCACTGTGCAAAGAATCAATATAATTGTAAGTATAACAAACTTAACAGCAAGGATACAAGGATAACAATGATGTAGATGTTGATTTGACGTATCGAAAGTCCAGAATGCAGGTGACCACGTAATATACAAGAGTCCTCTCGTCAATATTACAAGAGTCACCCGGAGAAATCTCTGTCGTTCGTCCGTACGACTTTGAATATCTGTAATTGCGGCCCAAGACAGCTCCCTTTAAAGCTGTGCTTGGCAAAGTGATGACTCCTAATTGGTGGATTCTGTTTTTTTGTGATCGGCAAGGAGGCGGTCGTTAGATGAAACACACGCCTCCAACGTAACGGTCATCTTCAGTCGTGGCGTGACGTATTCGGGAATTCCTAAAATCCTGATTTTGGTGCTGTTTTAAAAGGTACTGCAACAAAATAAAACTACATCGTCCTATACCTGTTTGCGCGTTCAGGTTTACAATTTCGAACGGTTTACAATTTACTACAGCAATTTACCTGTCATAAACCGACTGCAATAAACCCCTAAATAAAATCTAAACACAATGTAAAAGATGTAAAAGACACGGGCATATACAAAAATACTGCACTAGAACTCCTAGATGCGTTAAATGTACCAAATATCATCCCCCAACTGGATGTGGAAGGAATAACAGAGATAAAAACATTAGATGCACTAATTGTGGAGAAAAGTATCCTGCAAACTACAAAGGCTGCGTGGCATATACTACTGCTTGGAAAAGGAAATATAAATCACAACACTCAACAACCATATGAAACACATGCTAAAACCCAACAATACTTAAGGAAAGGCTTATCCTATGCAAGTGTAATCAAACAACAATCAAGGTTATGCTAGTAACGGTGATCTACACAAATCAAATTAATCCACAAGTCTGAGAAACCTCCAGAAGAAGTTACTTCTTATAGACCAATAAGTTTACTACCTATTGTCTCCAAACTATTTGAAAAACTGCTAATTTACAGACTAAAATCTGCAATAAACAAACTAATTCCAAAACACGAATTTGGATTTCAACAATAACACGCCACCATAGAGCAAGTACATAGACTGGCTAACAAAATCAGGAGAGATCTAAAAGACAGGAGATACTATCAGGGCTTTATCTACCCCTAAGCAGATTTTATTAGGAGTCCCACAAGGTAGTGCCCTAGGACCACTGGTATATACTATTTACACATCAAACTTTCTGATGATGAACAACACTTTCATTGCTACTTTAGCCGATGGTACGGTCATCCTAGCCTCTGACCTATATCTACAAGAAACCTCAAACAAACTACAACAACACCTCATTAAAATAGAACAATGGATGAAAATATGAGGATCAAAATTAACACTACTAAATTCATACAGGTCACCTTCACAACCAGAAAAAAACATGTCCACCTGTAAAACTAAACAACGAACCATTACCACAGGAAGAGACAATTAAATATCTCGGGCTACACTTAGACAGAAAACTTTTATGGAAAACGCACATCTGTAAAAAAGTAGGACAACAGAACAAATGATATAGGAAACTTTGGTGGCTAATTGGAACAAAATCACAACTAACACCCTACAGTAAACTTTTACTATACAAAACTATCCTCAAACTGATATGGTCATACGCCTGCCAGTTGTGGGGAACAGCATCAACCTCAAACATAAACACAATAGAGAGATGGTAAAACAAAAAACTGAGGTCCATTTTGAACATGAAATGGTATATCCCAAACAAACAAATATACAAGGAAACCAGGATACCCACCGTCAAAGAGGAAATTGCAAAACAAAGCAGATCATATCAACAAAGACTGAAAAATCACCCCAACAACCAGGCCACAAAACTATTAGACATCTCAGACGAACGTGGAAGACTCAGGAGACATCACTTCCTACAGCTACCATACAGATTTAGTGATATAAACTAAATTTGCCATAGTAATGCACCAGCGGGTGTATTCACGCTAATACCTTTCAATCCCCAAAATAAGTGTTAAATATTATTAAATGATAGATTGCACATATACAGAAGTTATAATAAAAAAAACTTGTGCAGGTAAAATAGAGGCGCACGTTCCAAGTATCATGTCATTATGCTGTGATGAAAAACATTTTATTGTATACATACAATACGTTACTCACGTCAGCCAAGCCGACCTGTGACTCAGAAGTGAAGAAGGGCAAGAGGACTCGACCACACGCTTCACCTCAGCTCGCGGCTCGGCCATTAATAAAGACAAAACTAATTTCGCCATTAGTATCGGACCGAGCGCTGTGAGTGGACGTCTCCCCTTACACCTCTTCACTTTTAAGCCACAGGCCGACTTGGTCAGCATGAGTACCGTACAGTAGGTCTCCTTTACTCATGTTTCGCTGGAGTTTTTGCTCCCAACCATGCCAGAACTCCTGATTCATGCATTGGCTCCACTTCAGTTCTAAGCGAACGGCATGTGGTCGAAATTGTTTTACGACAGCAACAGTGATGACTATTTTTTGGAAACTGTTCGTCTTCTTCTATTCTAAACCGTCTTTCCTTTGCCAACTAATGCAGGAGTCTGACATCGATGCCAGTTACTGCTACTGTGTCCGTCCTACACACGCCTCAACTTGCATTGTGAAACTATAGAAGTTGCCGTTTGCATCGCAGCATGTTTCAGCGTGTATGGTGCCCTTAGCAGATTCGTTTGGTCAACAGATGCTCTCTGTGCCTGTAAACCGCTTTTGTCCTTGTTTTAACGGTAGAAATTCGCGACAATTAGCTTAAGATTTTCTTAATTTTCACCGACAATGAGTATTACTAAACTGAAAAATCTGCCAGTCACGAATATCTTAACCCTTTTGCTATTAGCGGTGACTAGTCACCCACTGTCGCGCACTCACTGTGTCCTACTGGTGAATATAGTCACCCGCTGATATTTTTGTACATAACCAAAAAGTTATTGTTATCAATCATGTGATGCAGGTTTATGTGTGTATTCTAGTTCTCAAATGTATCACACGGAATTTAACTATTAAGCAATTTTTGGGATCTGAATATTTATAATGCATTACATTATTATATCTCATCCTTTACCTACTCCTCGATGAAACGTACGTTCGCGTTTTAAGTGGCTGTTCGGTGGAACCATATGCGCGAAATACATAAATACATAACAATAAATTTTATTAAAATTCAATTCCGCTGATACTATAGAAATCAATAATTTATTATTTGAATTTGTATAGAGTTTATATATCAATGCAAGTTTCATTATTTTTCTTCAGTTTCCTGACAAACTTTGAGTGCTTGATCAAGGTCAGCCAAAATATCACGTTCTGTTTCAAGGCCAACAGATAAACGAATTAATTGATCAGTGATACCCAATTCTGTTCTTGTTTCTTCAGGAAGTGATGCATGTGTCATAGCAGATCTATGAAGACAATGTGTAAATGAAACGTTCTTTCCAATCAGATATACAGAATGTGCTGTATAACTCCGCCAACTTTAATTATTCTCTTATTTGTCAGAATGTAAGAAATGTATTGGGAGAAAGTTTTTGTATTTCAAGAGGGAAATTAAGATACATAAGAGTAAAAGTTTTAATTCCACATGTTTTGAGATTTTAATGAAAGGAATATTTGTTTGAATGGCACGATTTGCGACATTTTCAGTGTACGATTATTTCTGTGCCATAACGCATTGTTAGATGCGCTTCAATTTCACTTTCTTAATGATAAGGAAAAAATAGATAGTTCTATTTACAATAACATTACCATGAGTATAATCTTAAAAAATATTAGAAGTGACCTCGAGATGATCTTTATTTTCTCAGTCGAATTTTCACCCTGAAATACAATAACTTTTCCCCCATTTTTTTTATTTCGACAAGAAGGTAATTAAGGGTGGCAGTGTTAGGTGTGATACCTTGTATAACAGATATGTATATAGTTATTTACTTACGGTAACTCAGCAAGAGATTCAGGTCCACCAAGCGAATCAGCTAATGCGAACACTTTCAATGCTGTTAAAAATTTCCTAGAGTCACCTTTAAGGTAAAATGATATCATTCCACTATGACCAGATGATTGTCTAAGGGCAAGTTCGTGCTGTGGATGTGACGGAAGATCTGAAATTTAATTAATTTAACTGTTGTTATTAAATAATATAGCATAGCCAAATTTAATTGCATAATAAACTCTAACAGCGTCATGCCACTTGAAAAAACTTGTAATATATTAAAAGTAATATGATAATATTCTTTAGAAGTAGTATACTTTATACAAACACATACATGGGTGAATTACTTTCTTCACATAAGGATGTGATTCTAAAAATTTTGCAACTGCTAATCCATTTTTCATGTGTTGTTGCATTCTGAGTTCTAATGTTTTTAGACTACGATTAATTAAATAACAGTCGAAAGGTGACGGCACAATACCCAAAGCTAAAATAATGTAATTATAAATATCAGTTTAAAATAAAAAGAAATAGTTGAACATGTAAGTTACAGAAATAATATAAATATACATTTTTGAAAAAATCGAAGTTTTTCTGCAATAGCATCGTTCCTTGTTACTGCTGCACCAGAAACAACATCTGAATGCCCACCCATATATTTCGTTAAAGAATACATTACAATATCTGCACCTAATTCTAATGGCCTCTATAATAAAAATGCACGTAATACAATACACTTTATTAAATCACAGCATTGAATGAAAAGCATTACCGACCTGATAGTAACAAGTTAAGAAAGTATTATCTACCACTATAATAATTTCAGGAAATTTGATTTTGAGTGTTTCGCTTACAGCCTTGATATCAATTATCTGAAGTAAAGGATTTGTAGGCGTCTCCAACCAAAGCATCTAAATGAAAGTACAAACATACATATCATTAAAAACAATTTTAATGAAATATTTTTTTATTAACATAATAAATTTATTTATACCTTTGTATTTGGTTTAACAGCAGTTATAATATTATTTACGTCACCTGCATCTACAAATGTTAGGTCAATGCCATGTGGAGACAAATACTTTCTAAAAAGACGGTTTGTTCCACCATAGATGTCATCCCCAGATATGATATGATCTCCAGCTTTTAATAATGAATTTATTACTACTATAGCACCTAAACCAGATGCAAATACAAATCCATGTTTCCCATTTTCTAAAGCTACTAAACATTTTTCTAAAACATTCCTTGAGGGATTGCCACTTCTACCATATACAAAACCCTAGAACAACATGTAATAATATTAATAATAACAAATAATAGAAGCTTACATTTAAATTTTTGATCAACCTGCTAATATACTATGACCTGACCGATTTTGATGATTTTTAAATATATTGTTCGGGACTTAGTTTCAAGCAACCTTTTCCTATACATGTTACTTACGGGAAGCTTTAGTTTGTGAGATAATCGCGAAAAACTTTTGCTACTACTACACTGAATTCGGTATCCATGAACATTTCCGTGAAAGAACACAAGCATACATCCATATGTATTTACCCTATAACTATCTTCTGGTTGAGATAGAGGGCTAAAAATTGGTATACAATGTTTTTTATGGATAAACTGTCGAAGGAAACTTATCCTGCTATATCATTTAATAAATTATAGTATATTGTTCACAATAATTAATTTTTTCATTAAAAGACTTACTCTATATTCTCCAGGTCTGTCTTGTTGGTAAGTTGTAGACGTAACAATAGGAGCTACCACTGCAGAGTGACTCCATTGTAATGGATCTTGTCCAGCATGTATAGCTTTTGTTGCAAAACCCTCTTCCATTGACATTCTATTAAAAATATTATTTGCAATACCAACTGCATTACTTAATTAATATTAAATATATAATTTGTCTTTAAATAATTAAAACAAGATTATTTTAAATATATATTACATTTATACAATTAATTCTTATTGCATAAAACAATAATCTAATCTTCAGGCAGAAATAAATACTTGTCTTTTAATAGTTAAACAACATATGCATATAAAAAACATTAATAAACTTATGTACATGTGACATAAAACTTGATATAAATTACCTCATAGGTTTAAATATACCGAAAAAATTAATTTATTTGTTCAAAACCTATATTGAAGAAAAGATAATCTACATAATGCGATTAACTAATAAAAATATAAAGTGATTTAGAAAGTAGATTATATTTTCTAGATTTTCTTAGGTATGTATATGATTTTTCTCAAAACTATTACTTACATTAGTTGTGATTCTTAAGATGTAAATAAATTGAAAGAATTATAAAGGTAACAGATGTTGTAAATTGTAACTATTATTAAGTTCTATAATATATAGTTTATAAAACTCTATAAAATATTAGCAACGTGTTGCACTACTGACGTCTAATCCTACATTGACATATGACTTTGATAATTTATTATATTGAGCATTCTGTCTTACACTGTGTTAGTTAAGGAATTGTGACAACCGAAAGATTGCGGTGAAGCATATATTTACTTAAATACTTACTAGTAGGTAACTTACGTCAAAAAATTTAATATGTGATAAGAAAATAGGAAGATTTCCTTAAGTGTCTTATCTGAAATATGAATTTTATCAAGATCCACGTTCCATCATTAAAATCAATATTGACTGATATTTTTCGAAATCAGATCCTCTTTTATCTAATTCACGACATAACCTAATGCTACACACGAGGTATAAGATACACATAACAAACAATGTAAAATTTTGTTACACGGTCTTGGGGGTCCCAGGACCCTACTGACCATTTTCGTGTCACACCCTATCATATTGACTTGGGCTCGTTTCGCATAATGCTGCGCTATAAATGATGGGGAATTAGAATCAAAAATATTGAAGACGTACTTAAAATAAGTACAAACTGTGCGTATAGTCTATTTTTCTGTCGACTGTTTTGAAATACTGACATCCTCAAAAATGCCCGTATGCATTAACGGACTCTACTTGAATCGAACGATCAACTACTGAACTACACTCAGTCACAAAAATCTCTTCACAAAAATGTATTAACACTAGAACTACCAGATGGGTCAGAAAGACTTATTTCTGATTTACTCTTTTACAATTACTGAAAAGGTACAGATACTTCTACAAAAAATTCTTAGTGGAACTAATTCAGTAATAGCAAAACTGAAATGCAATTCAATTGAAATCTCAATAAACGCACGTTTATGGTTTTTATAAAAAAATGTATAAAAGTCAGTCTAAATGATCGGTAGTTTTAGTGATAAACATTGCATATTTTTTAAAGAAGAAGTTAGAAATAAATAATTTCTAGATATTTATATAGAAAAGTATAACATTTATTATTGACGACAAGAAGAAACATATACATTCAATAAATAAAATTAACCTGAAAGACAAACATAACAAAAGCATGATCAAAAAAGTCTCCATATTCAGAAATTTACCAACTATAATTTTGTAATTAACAATTAGTCGATCCTCCTTTCAGTCTAATAATTTCTCGCAACTTTCTTTGCATGAACATACTAACTTTGTAGTAAAATTAGGCTGAATATTATTCCACTCAAGTATAATTTTAGATTTGAAATCTTCTTCGTTCCTAATATCGTGTCCTTTCAATTTTCTGTCTATTTCAGTCTATAAATGCTCAATAGGATTCACGTCAGGTGACTGAGGGGGAACGATCTCCCCAAGTTTAATTTTATCACACTACGGGCTAAATTTTTTGTTCATGTTGAGATAAACGTATTAACCTATTATATCATCAAAAAATTTTAAATGT